TCATATGTGAGAAAAAAATTTCATTTTTCTCTGACATGTTTAGAAAATTTTTATTTTTTCTCTCACATGTTTATTTTCATTCGCTCTCACTTTTCATTCTCTCTTTACCAGTGTCAAATTTTCAATCAGTGTGTCCCAACTAATTTTTCAGTATCTTAGTCCAGTCAGTGAATAGATGTAATGTAATTGTGTCAAATAAGTGACAGATACGAGATACATTTAAATGTGGCAAACTATCTACAGCACTCGTGTTATTAATGAAATATGATTATATAAAATAAAGAATCATCAGACATTCATTGAAAATATCCAAATCAAAATATTCGCTCTGATCACACAAGTCACACGATTCATTCCTGTACAATAAGTCACTCCAGTTACAAAAACATCCAGAGTCCCACAATTCTCTAAACCCAAGCCAGTTGCACAGAGTACACGAGCCATACAATTTATACAAGTTACCCCGAATAAAAATATATGCGCAGGCCTTCTGGACCGAATATTGCCAGTGCATCTGAAGGATTTCTCGGCTAGTTTACAGGAAGCCGCTCAAGAGAGTTCAGGATATGGTTCCGGAGCCTTCTCCTTGCTCCTGGAACCAGCGCTGGCGGAAGCATAAGGGAATGTCATATTAAAACGGAAAATCAAATAGAAATGCATTCAGGAATGGGCGTGCAAAAATTCGTGTTCAAATTAACCGCACTGTGGAATTCCCTATTACAACGTGAAATCAAATAGGGATTCATCCAGCAATAGGTGTGCTAATATTCGTTTTCAAATTAAGTGCACTCAGGAATTTATTTTTTAAATGGGAAATCAACGAATTCATTCACGAATTGATGTTGTAAAATTCGTATTCATATTAACTGCGCAATCCTACAATACATGTCCCCGAGAAGGACCACCATGAACGACGATGGTACTTCCAGCTAACCGACTGATGCCATGGAAAAGAACGGGGACCTGATATGAGAGAGGGATTACAACTAATAATGATGTCTGCATGCATGGTGATACCCGTGTTAATAAAAGAAAAAATATATATATAATACAGATGTCTGATTGTATGATGAATTGTGATGCCCATCTTTATGCAAGATCAAACGTAGGATTAATACAGAAATCTGCTTCCATGAGATGCCTGCGTTAACCCTAAAGAGTAAGTAAGACTGATGCAGAAATCGGCATCGAAGGCGATCCCTGCAGGAGAAAAATTATACAGGGGAGACACTACGACTAAGACAGAACTCTGTATCCATGATGAGACCTGAACTAGAACAATAATGAAAGGACGAGTTATGCTGCGGTCTTTTACATTTACTGAAGTTCATATGTGCGAGCAAGTACGGATAACGCTGACGCAGCAGATGGGAATTTTTATCAACACCACCTCAGGTAATTGTTTCGTGGAGATGTTAAACAGTTATTCCACAGTGAAGTTTTTCCTGCGTAACCTGTGTTAATACTGCCACAGTGACATTATTTCAATGTTAGTATTGGCAGCGGTTATACAGCTCTGCCTGCTCCTGTTCTATTGCAACTTAGATTGTTCACTGCATGGTGGAGACAACATTATATAATAAACAATAGGACTTGATGAGTGGCACTTAACGGACTAAATAAAGGCTTACAAATGTGACTGGGACTGAAGAAGGGACTTATTGATATGATTGATTGTGACGAGAGAGGAATTAACTAGTGCGAGGGACTTGAATAGGGACTGCGAGCAAATTCATTTGTGTGAATGTTACTGATGAGGGGACTACTGGTTTGCGAGAGTGGGACAAACTGGCGAGAAAAAGACCTCTTGTTTGAATGCTGCAGAAGAATAATTTATGGCGAAATAGGATTAGAGAAAACTTTCTGGTATGAGTGTTACTGGAGAGGCGAGGTGCGAGATTTTAGTTCGCTTGCGGCGGCTATTCGTTTATTAAAAAATGCAAAAAAGACTAAATTTGTGCAATAAACTCATTTTCAACTTAGGTTCAGGTTCCAGTTTGTTGACGGCAGTTATTCGTTAATAATATTATTGTAGAATTCAGAAACGTTTTTAATCCATATATTTAATGTTACTATAGCCGCTGAGCATTATTTAAATTTACTAATTTTTGGATTTTGGTTGCAATCCAAGAGACTGTGCAGCAGATATCCACTAATTGTATAACTATGAAACGAGCGTAACCACACACATCACTGAAGTGATGACAGCCACTGCGCTAGTGTAAATTTAACATATGTCTAGACTTTGGTTGAGACTAAAGTGCGTTTGCGGTAGTCATCGGTAATTAAATATCTAATCTACAATCTTGGAATTATTGCAGACTTTGGACCGATGTAAAATTAGATTATTTTTCTAATTTGGTAGAGATCCCACTTCATTTGCAGTAGTTATTGGTTAGGGTGCCAGACTTAAGAAAAAGTTTTCAGGTCTTTCATCATATCTTTTGAAGAAATGGACTTAAAACTTAAGATTTTGCTTAAATTGTTAGCTTTTTACTGCTAAAGATGCTCGGCGATTATCAGGATATTCTTGTAAGCTGTTTTTGAATAGAAAGCAAAGGAGTGCAAAATTTAAAAACCTGTGCTATAGTGAAAAAAAAAACGATCCAAATGAAACAACAGAAAAAATTCTCTGAGCGCACTATATGTTTGAAAATTATACATACATTGAGAGCTTGATTATTTTTTTTATTGCATTCATTATAATTTAGATTAACAGATTCAGAGTTACGATTTTAGTTTCTTTCACAAGCAAAATATCATCAGATTACACGTCAAAAGTCTATGAACTTTGCTCCCTTCATTTCACTACTCCCCTGCCTTCGTTTCATGGATTGTCTGTGAGATTGTAGTTATGATGCTCATTGAAACCGTTTTTTTATGTCTATTGTTGGTTTACAAAAAAAAATATTAAGAGAAGTGAAGTTATATACTCGAAAGGCATAGTGTAAGCTAATAGCATCGAAATACAATTGTTTGAAAGACTAATATGTTTCTTTACATTTTTTTGGGGGGGAAAGTCCAGTATCCAAATTTATGACCAAAATTTCGAACACAGCTTCCATTAAAGTTCGACACTATCGAAAAATCAGAAAATCAACTTTGCTATAAAATGATATCTTGTAGTCACTTTTAGGATTTCATATTATTTTGACAGGTCCTGAATGACTGTAGAGCAAAGTAGAGGATACTGTAATACTCTGAAAACTATATATTGGGTGGGATTTCCGGTACAGAAATCGAGAAGTATTTTTAGAAACTTTCACTATAATAACCCAATTTATAAACAACTGATTTCACCAACCTAGAGTTAGTACAGACACTGGTTATCAGTAAAATTTACAAATTTCTCGACTTTGGTGGAGATCAAAGTTGGCTGTCGGTTATATAATAACCGAATTATTCAAAAACGACTGAACCTATATACCTGTATGTATGTGAATTTTTCTTTTGTCTCGTATACGAAATAAGTAGTCAGGCGTTTTTTAGGGAACCATTTTTGCGTCACTTGAGCATCGTTACAGCTAATGCAGTGGCAGATAAAGTAGATCACAACAGTTAGGTTATGGCATGCTTCACCTAAGACTGCAACCCTGTGTGTTCAGTACGCATTGAGATGTGTTTATTTTATGGCAAATTTAAATTGCTATGCGTCATTTCTACTCTGAGTCAGAGAAAATTCACCCACAATTTGAATCATTTCAAAATAAATGTAAACCACAGCATTTTTAGTGGTAGCTCTGTTATCATTTATTTCATAACCAACAAGAAAATTATTTTTAAGAACTTTTGTCAAAAAATTCTTTTATGAGTGCGACGCTGACTTAGGTCTAGTACTTTTCCATCAATCTCTATGGTCAACACTTGCAAATAACAGAATATTTAATTTTTCATACTGTGAACGTACCTTAAATTGTGAGGCTAATTTTATTCGAATAGTAGCTTTCATTTAGCTTGGTAAATTCGCTCTCGTTCCCCTTTCAATAGAATTGCAATAAAAATGATGAGTAGCCCGCGTAACGCTGAGCGGTTGAAGTGTAGATTTTAAGTCCGGTAATGAAGGGCTGGCGCGAGTGCCGCGCTCATGAACCTTGTTTTGGGAAAAATTCGTTGCTATTCATTAAGCGGCTGAGTGGGTTTAAAATCTAGGGTAATAGTAATCCTCTTCAACGGCTGAATTTATTATTTGTACATGCTTATTATGGGTTGATCTTCTTATCACCACAGGTTGATTGTGAATTTTTTTGCCGACCGATACTAAAGATTTAGAAGTTTCTACTACTATATATCTTTTTTTTGCAGCTCTGACCTCTGATGTTGAGGGAAAGCCCTAAATTTAAGAAGAAAAATTCTAAGTTAATACTGAAGAAACACATACACAGGATTATAACTGAAGAAATTCCCGGGCGTAATCAAAGTAGAATAGGAATTCAATTTTGATTGTGTGTTTATTGATTTGCGGAGTTATTGAACTACGTGTTAGTCGCTGGTAATTCGTAAGTAGACAGGAACATATAAGTAAAAGTAAGAAGTGAAATTTACCTTCGAAGAAGGTAAGTTTAAAACATTCCTAATATTTTTTTTACTCTGGAAGCTCCCGAACAAACAATACATTTATTAAACTAAATGCATCTGCAATAATATTATATATAGTCAGACAATGTTCACGTCGCGTAACACGTACAATCACAAACGCATTTATATCGATACTCATTGTACATCAGCATTGACATATAATGAAGAATTGGTTATTTCTACACCATCTTTCACTATAAACGTTTACCAGAATTAAAAGCGAGACAATGCGTGCAATTTGAAACAGATCAATCCCCGTGACTCTCTTTTAGCGCATTTTCTCATTTATGGAATAAATGCCCTATTGTGCTCGACATGTCCGTCTGTCCGTCCATCCGTGACTCCACGTTTTCGTCGACGAGAAAATGTGCTCTCTGTCACTCACTGCAGTGAGTACTGAGTTATATTTTTTAACCTCCCGCCAGATGGACGCCAGCACCGGCGCCACGGTCGTGCTGAAGGATGTCTCGCTGGCCACGTCAGGCCGCTACAAGTGCGAGGTGCTAGCTGAGGCTCCGAGCTTCAACACACTCACCGAGCACGCGATACTCACCGTCGTGGGTGAGTGTAGGTCGTGGTCATCACACTCACCCAGCACGCGATACTCACCGTCGTGGGTGAGTGTAGGTCGTGGTCATCACACTCACCGAGCACGCGATACTCACTGTCGTGGGTGAGTGTAGGTCGTGGTCATCACACTCACCCAGCACGCGATACTCACCGTCGTGGGTGAGTGATTTCTTGGCCGTGAGGCAGAAATGTGCGGCATAAATGTAAATTTGTAGATATTTGGTATGAGTGCTAGGCACGACCATGAACTTACGCGATGAAATTTGGATTTCAGGTTGCGATAAGCGGAACTCTGTTATCTTATATTTATTATCTCATCGGAACCTTTATTATCTGCCGTCACTTTTCACGGCAGATTGTGATGATTATGTTACAAACTACGCTTTCATGCATTAGCATAACTGTTCAACTTTATCAGCTGTTATTACGTGTGTTCACAGTACGAAAACCACCATCTTGTTTTAATAAAATAATGTTTGATAATGTATAATTAAAATTTCACTTTATCCTCCACCAATGACGTGCCAGACTTGCCAGAAGAGAAGCCCGTCGTGAAGAGCGCCCGTGAGAAATACAAGTCAGGAGACCTGGTCGCCGTGAACTGCACCTCGGCGCCTTCGAAGCCCGCAGCCCATCTCATCTGGTACATCAATGATAAGGAGGTACGAGTAATAAGTTTGCCATTAATATACTAATAAGAGAGGTGCTTGTGATCCTACATCAATGATAAGGAGGTACGAGTACTAAGTTAACCATTAATAAATTAATAAGAGAGGTGCTTGTGATCCTACATCAATGATAAGGAGGTACGAGTACTAAGTTAACCGTTAATGTACTAATAAGAAAGGTACTTGCGATTCAGACATCAATGATAAGGAGGTACGAGTACTAAGTTAACCATTAATAAATTAATAAGAGAGGTGCTTGCCAGCCCCACATTAATGATAGGAAGGTAAGAGTACTAAGTTAACCGTTAATGTACTAATATAAGAGAGGTACTCGTGATCCGTACATCAATGAAAAGTAGGTACGAGTACTCCAATCAACCATTTAATTACCAAGAAGAGAGGTACCTACTTGCGATCACTACTTCAATGATGAGGAGGTAACAGTACTCAATCAACAATTTATGTGCTAATAAGAGAGGTACCTGCGATCCCTCTGACATCTGAGAAGATTAATGCCAAAATGATTATTTATTAGACATATTATGAGGAGGTACCAGCGCTTATTATTTTCATAATTTACGGATAGCAAATAGTTCTCGTAGTCTCGCAGTCAAGTTAATCACAGAAATTATATTATTAATATTCAAACTTCAAGTGATAAGTTCTAAAGGCTCAAGTAATTATTTGTTGCACTTATTATACATGCCATTGTTTCGTCATTTCATTTCAAAAAACAACGTTATTATTTGGTGCACTCATTACGAGGAGACACCAACGCAGATTATTATTATATTTTACAAGAGTATAAACCATTTTGAAATCATTTTGAACAATTGCATGCTCAAATTCAAAATATACAAATAGATGTTTGCATTACAAATTACTCCAAGTAGCTCCTGCCATTGGACATATCTTGGCTTTAATTTCACTGTTTCAAAATTTACCATTACGCAAATTAAAAACGCGAGCTCGCCGAGTAGCAAAATGTCCAAAAAAGCCTCAAGCACCAACACATGACAACGAAAATGCCAAATCGCAAGCTTCCAATTGTGTCGGATCGATCAAAGCTCGAGATCAATCCTGTTTGTGCCAAAAACAATAGCGGCCTCGAAGCTTTGCCGCTTATCCTGCGGCGCGAAGCACACGTCGAAATACAAAAAATGCATCGGAATTGTTTTGGTTTTGTTTTTTGGTGTTTGGATTTAACTTTCGATGAATCGCCTAGTAAATCCAAAATATATTGAAATTTTTTCTAATGCGCATTATGACATGACAACCTACTTTTTGTCTTTACTGAACATTTATATATGAATGAACATTTATGTATGAAATTTGTTAAAAAACATTAGGTTAACGTCATTATTTTAGGGACGCATTTGATAACAATTTTAAACAGAGGTATGATGATGTATTATTTTATGTTTTAAATAATCATGATAATCACTGGAGAACAGCCTTAAACTTATTCTATACGCTTGTCTGATTTCAAAGCAATTAGAACTATTCGTAGTTCACATGGGCTATAACCTCCAAGAAATTGAGATTAAATATAGTCACGAAATTACGATCGAAAAAATGAATACAATCTTAAATAAAACGTATTCCAGTTCCTATATCAGTTTCTTCCAACACACGGAGAACCCCAAGATAATTTACGAACGATCTAAAAAGATTTTGCATGACCATCCCAGTGCATATAAGCTTTGTTGAAGAAAAAGTGGACGGTCCTTAAATTAGGAAAAAAGAAAAAAATCTACGTTGACAGACAATTAGTTAGAATCAAAGGTTTTTTGTCATATGTAATTTTTGAATCAAATTAACCATCTGAAAAAGGTTCATGATTTTTTTTGGGGAGTAATTATAAATCATATAAAAATAATCGATGCTATTTTTGAGGTATTCCTGATGGCTGCTACAAAACACAATAGTTACAAATGAGAAAAATTAAAATTACTTATTGTTTCGATAGTTTTCCTGTTATGCCCGCTCATTGTTGCACCATTTACCTCTCTTGAAACTATGGAAATATTTAACGAAAAAGCACAGTAAAAAAAACGCTTGTAGAGCGGCCAACATAAAGTAACATCGGCTAACTTGAACGAGCTGTTTCGAAAAATTTCAATAATGAGAGAGAACTGAGAAGATATAAAAAGACCGAAATAATTTAAGCGAGGGTGAGAGAAATACAGACCCAATTTTTTCGGATCTCTCTTTGAAAAATGAAAAAAGGCAGTTTTAGGTCGGGAATAGTAAATTAAATGAAGAGAAATATGACCTGCGTTGCAAGCGTTAAAATGAAGTTCTACTGGAAACTAAGCAGCAGAGAGGAAGCAAAATAATGCCAGCAAGAGTGGTGAAAGAAATGCGCGACAGGCAAGCAAGAATCGAGGGAAAAGAGGGGATACGAGGGTGGCCGCGGACAGTCGCTTATGGCATCATTTCTAAGGCATTGCTCGGCATGTTCCCTCGCGCGTCCGCCTCACCGGGACCACTAATAAATCTCACAGAGCGCGGCTTATTGTGGGATCTGCTTTACGACCCTCACCCTACCCTCGCTCTACCCTCACCCTTTCCTCGTCCCACCCTCGCTCTACCCTCACCCTATCCTCGCTCTACCCTCAACCAATCCTCGACCTACCCTCGGCTTACCCTCACCCTACCCTCGCTCTACCCTCACCCTGCCCTCACCTTACCCTCGCTCTACCCTCACCCTTTCCTCGCTCTACCCTCACCCTATCCTCGTCCTACCCTCGCTCTATCCTCGTCCTACCCTCGCTCTATCCTCGTCCTACCCTCGGCTTACCCTCACCCTATCCTCGTCATGCTCTCACTCTATTCTTGTCCTTCCATCACTCTATCCTCGCTCTACCCTCACCCTATCCTCGTCCTGCCCTCGCTCCATCCTTGTCCTACCCTCACTCTACCCTCGTCCTATCCTCGTCATACCCTCTGCTTACCCTCACCCTATCCTCGTCCATGCCCTCGCTCTATCCTCACACAACCCTGGCTACACCCTTGCTCCACTCTCACTCTATCATCGCCCTATCATCACCCAACCTTCGCTTTACTCTCGCTCTACTCTCGGCCTAGTCTCTCCCTACTCACGCTTTGCCTTCTCTCTACAACCGCTCTACCCTCACTTTATCATCTCTACTACCTCACTCTACTCTCACCCTATCTCACCCTACTTTCGCTCTACCCTAGCCTTACTCTCGGTCTACCCTCGTCCTATCCTCGTCCTACCCTCGTCCTACCATCGTTCTACCCTCGTCCTACCCTCGTCCTACCCTTGTCCTACCATCGTTCTACCCTCGTCCTACCCTCGTCCTGCCCTCGTCCTACCCTCGTTCTACCCTCGTCCTACCCTCGTCCTACCCTCGTCCTACCCTCGTCCTATCCTCGTCCTACCCTCGTCCTACCCTCGTCCTACCCTCGTCCTACCCTCGTCCTAACCTCGCCTCGCTCTCGCTCTACCCTTGCCTCACTCTCGCTCTACTCTCACCCTACTTTCGCTCTACCTTTGTCCTATCCTCGTTCTACCCTCACAATATCCTTACTTTACTTTCACCCTACCTTCGCCCTATCATAGCCCCAACATATTCCATCATCCTACCCCATCACTACTATCGTTCTACTCCCGATCTACCCTTGCTCCACTTTCGTCTCGCCCTCGCCTCACCTTCACAACATCCTCTACCCACCCTTACCTCACCATAAATTTCATTTTAGTCGCTACATACTCATATTTTTCCTCTTCGGATGTTCTTTTCTTTTCCTTTTCGGATATCCTATTTTTCTTCTTCCTTATCCTCCATTTTTTTCAAATGGAACTTTTTTCCAACCCTTTTTTCAAAGTGACTTCAAAACTCACAACGCTTTTCTCTCTGCACGAAATTTTCTTAAGTGGCGTACACTCGATTTACTTCGCACGTTCATCTTTTTCGAGCTCAATCTCTCGGTTACTTGAACAATTGTTACGCATAGTTTGAAAAAATACGCCTTGAATCCGAACTGCAAATTCAGGCAATCAACAATCCCACGAACAAAATAGATACATTCTGTTATGGCTTTCCCATTTCTATTTCAATTGTATCGAATATCAGGGACGTGAAAGTGAAATACGAGAAAATTTTAAGAAACTCAGTTTGCTAAATTTTTATAAGTCCATCCAATTTCAATAAACCCGTTAATTTTTCTTGCAGTGTCTTCATAATCCCTCTGAAGGTAAATGTATTTCCCTTATTTTTAACCATATAGTAGTGAAATTTCGTTGATGAACTCGACTGTTCATGCAACTGAATCCAATTCAATTTAAGTCTTATAAATGCGTTGGTTTCGTAACTTCTTCTAGCATTCTTTAGATGCCGCGCCTACATAAAGTCTTGCCAATAATTCCAGCGGCTTTTAATGTTTAAACTACAAAATCTACTCAAATCCAAGCCAATATTTCAACCGGTTTAGAAACGGGACCTAGTATGTTTCAACTGCGACGTCTACACAAATTCAAGCCACTAAATCCACTGATATTTAGTTACATTTCTTATAATGTTCTATCGGCGACATCTACACAAATTCAAACCACTATATCCACCGATATTTAGTTACGCCTCGTACAATGTTCCAGCTGCGATATCTACACAAATTCAAGCCACTAAATCACAGGTTTGGTAACGACGTCTCGTCAGGTCTCGCGAAGAGAAGTCAAGTCAGAGGGATGAGAAGCCAGGGTTTCTGCGCCCGATAATTGCCATTAATGAGCAACACGCTCCGGCATTACGGCCTCCTCGTATCAAATTAGCATTCGCGATGACACTGCGACAGATTGGCACGCTAGTTCTGGTGACACTAGCATACGGATGGCATCTCGGAAACAACGTCTCGGGCAATGTCATAACAAATTTACGTCATGTGTAACAAGCGGCTTACGTTCAATAAGCTTATTGTAATAAATTTGCCTTCTATATGTGGATTGTGAACCATTTTATCAGTTTCATAGTTGGTTTATGTTACGTGCACTCTTATGATGCAGTTTTGAACTGATTTTACTTGACTTACATTATGGGACAAAAATTACTATTGTCATATATCCTTGTTCATTAAATACGTGATGATACTCCCAGTAAAATAATTACGAGCCTTAAAATCACTGTCTTTTACAAGTCAAGAATGAAGTCAATTGAAACGTATGTGTGCATTTAATAAATGAAATACTCGTACTGATTTCTGTGTCTCTTTCTGGACCATATTTCCTTTTCATTTTCATTGTCAACGCATCGTCTTTTTTCCCTATTCTGTCCCCCTGGCTGTCCCTTATTTTTTCTCAATTTATAAAAAGTCGTTTTTATTTTTCCCCGCGTGATTCCCGCTGTTTGTTTGCCATCGTTCTTTTCTTTTATTTTCATCGATTTTTCATATGCATCCCACTGTGATTTTCTGTTGCTTGGCCTTTCCTGTTCACGTAATTTTCCACCATTAAATCCTTTCTCTATTTTTATCTCATGCCATACTAAACATTATTTTCTTTTCTTCAGTATTCTCTTGCGGGAATTTCAACATTACCACATCTTCGCACTTTTCTTTCTTCACAACTATCATCAATTTCATTGATCAAGTTACTCTTCCTTTCATCTTTCCTTCTCGCTTCTATTCTGTCTCCTCACCCCAGTGGCGCGATCATTGATCAAGTCTCTATTCCTTTCCTGTTTCCTTCTCGCTTCTATTCTGTCTCCTCACCCCAGTGGCGCGATCATTGATCAAGTCTCTCTTCCTTTCCTCTATCCTTCTCGCTTCTGTTCTGTCTCCTCACCCAGTCTCGCGATGAGCTACAGGAACGCGGCCCAAGTTGGACCGTTTGAGTTCACGACATGTCGACATCGCGGCAAAGTTTGACGTCGTTTTTAAGTCACGAGCGCAAGTCAAAAATCCAAGCAAACACAAACGTATAGCCAACCAAGTTAGCGGCTCCAGTTTTATGAGCGTTGAGGGTAGAGGGAAACTGGTCGAGGGTAGAAGGCAAAAACTCGAGGAAAAAGAAGCGTAAAGCTAAAAAAGAAATTTTTTTGTTTGAAAAACAATGCAGATTCTGCAAAAGGCTATGCACATAGCTGGGTTTAGTCTTGATTTATTATAGGTGATACATTATTGGATTTACATCGATGAGTGCATTCGAAACATGCAATCATACAAGCCTCAATGATGTATTTTAGGATATACAAATTAATATTTTTCTCTGCCGTTTGCATAAAAATGTGATAAACTGATGGCGCATGATTTTTCATCTAAATAGATTATTAATTTGTATTGCCTGATCATCGTTGGATCATAAATCATTGCTGCGGTCACCTCACTATTTGTCACCGCCGCTCGCTTCCTCGGCCTGAGACCTGCCCCTTCCGCTCCTGTGGCGACCTCATCGCGTAGAGAGCGGGCGTTGTCAGGCTGCAGTGCTGCATAAAATAAAATAATATGAATATAAACTAAAATAAATATGAATATAAAATAAAATACATTATATGATATAAAAAATAAAATAAAATATAAAATATATATATATATAAGATATATATATATAATAAAATACTTTATCTCGTTTTTTATGTACTATATCGTTTTATATTGTTTTTCTTGTAATTTCTTCAAATTTACGAGAAAATTTATTACTAAAAAAAGCTAGTTCTATGTTTGTACGCTTTTTTCATTTCACTTTTGCCGAAAATTTGTATTTGAATATATCAAACTCTTACGTTTCCTGTTAATACAACGTATTAATTTAATGTTGCATTCACAACCAATCGGAAGCTCTCATACCAATAACTGCCTAGACCCTTGTCAACGGTTGCTGTATTTTTATCCATGCGAACGTAGAAACTGACGAAGATGAAGCGATACAACTGAAGATGAAGAAGCTACAATTTTCCACAATAGACTAAAAAAATTCCGGAAAACTACAATTCACAACATCACTCCCGACGAGTCAACTATGCCTTTAACCAGTAGCAAAATAGTTTAATTAACATACCAGAACCTCATATTTGTGTTTTCCAACAGGCAGAACGTAGCCACCTGCTTCACTACCAACCAATTCTGCTACGCAACGGACTAGAGCAGACGACGCTGGGGCTGCGGTTCAGGGCGACACCGTATCATTTCTCGCAGGGCCACATGACGCTCAAGTGCACCGCCTCTATAGGGGTCACTCCTCCAGCCCTGACGCCCTACAGCAGGAACAAGTATAGGACCTTAGGACACCACACTCTCCAGCCCCCGCTCTCGCTGCAGAGCCGCGAGCACCGATATGGTGAGAATAAAACTTTTTTTACTGTAGCTATTAAAAATTTGCTTGAAATAAGATGGAAATTAAGTACAAGTTAACGTTATTAGTTAACAGTAAGGTTAACATATCAGTATGTATATGTAAGCAATACATAATTTATTTTGCGAATCTTTCAATTAAAAACGCATTATTAAGGAGACATAGCGAATACATTTTATTATTTGTTCACTATTACAAATAAAAATATTCTAGTTTTAATAATATTTTAAGCATTTTTTCGTACTTCAATATATACAAAAAACTGATTAAGGAATGAAATATAGCAGCTAAAACTGCAAACTTGAAATATAAGTTTCATTAGCGATAACATTCTTTTTAATGTTCAAAATTTATTCTCCAAAATGAATAAAGGCTCAAAACGTGTATTTCACTCATATGTAGAGATAAAAAATTTCTACTCATTCCTAGAGAAAATTAAATCTTCACCTTTTGACATAAAATTTCAATAGCCATCACAATTTTTACTTAAAAAACAGTAATAATGATTATTATGACTTAATAGTGGCATAAGCAACAGCATATCGTCAACGAACAGCACAACACATTCGAAATAAAAAAAAGTGAACCGAGAATGAAGCAGTTTGATATTGAATGCTGCTTAAACTGTAAAACAAACTGCACTAACTGCACCACATCAGTCAGCCACAACTGCACTAACTGCACCACATCAGTCAGCCACAACTGCACTAACTGCACCACATCAGTCAGCCACCACTGCACTAACTGCACCACATCAGTCAGCACATACACACCTAATGAACCACACTACACGCAGTCCAGCAATAAAAGCAATACCATCGCAGGAATGTGCCTCTCCCGTCCTGATATATGCCTTCATATCCTCGATTTCACTACGATTCTTTTGCCAGTTTTTTCCCCCATTAGCATTTGGGAGAATTCATCCCAATTTTGTGGATGCCATTTTGCTGGAACTAGGAAATGTTTTCATCTCTGTTAAAGTTTCGAAGGGAAACTTTTAACTAAGTTGATACAGGTTGTAACTCATTATATTCATTTGAATTTGGAAACCTTTTGAGTTTAGAAAAAATTAATTCATTATTCAATCAAGTACGTCAATGAGTGACAAAAAAAACACATTTCACTGATAACAAGATACCGAATCGATAATTATAATTTGATACTCGAGGTTGCCGAACGGTAACCAAGATTTGTTCATGGTTTCAAACCGAGTTCATGGTTTGAAACCCGCAACCAGCGGGGAAAATTCTAATCTAAATCAGCAAGGTGGCCGGATGGTTAAGAATTGACAATGGTTGACAACAGGCCAACATGGCCTGATTTATTCAACAGGTAATGTTAAACCATTGCAATTTTTTCATCTTTCAGGTACGGCTTCAGCAATTCATCCACCAAATTCAGCTCGATTGCTTCTGTTGGTTGCGCTCCTCTCCATTGTGAACCAAAGATAAACCGCAATTCATTTTAATTCATACAATTGAAAAATCCAAAGACCAGTGCGACAGAAACCAGTATGCCCGGTTTGCATTGACCTGTACACACAAAAAAATATGTTTGACATTGTACATAGAAAGACACTCTTTTGTCCTTTGCGTGGATCACCATGACCCAGTACGGCCCAGCATAGAATATATCAGTGCTATTTTTCGGTTTCTGTTCGTTTTGTGGTTTACAAAGTACGTCACTTTTTGGACGATGTAACCCATTTAAATTTCTGATTTTTAGGAAACTCTCAAACGCGTTTTGAAAATTCAATGCCTCCTGCAATGTTCATCAGACGCTGAAGGGGGTACGTTGTGAAGGTACGTTGAAGGTACGTTGTGAAGGTACGTTAAAGGTACGTCGAAGGTACGCTGTAAAATTTCTGGTAGATTTGGTAATTAAATCAAGGCAAATAAGAAAATCAAGAACATTTACGTCTGAAATAAGTTAAGGAACTGAAACTACGTTAAATTTTATTATTAATCACATGCTATTTTATATCGAATTGTCAATTTCTTGAAGCTTCAAGATGAAAAACATTCCAAGTGAGAGTGTGAGCAATAACAAGAGGAGCTAATTCAGTTCAGTACATATTACCAACATGAATACATCTATTATAAAATATATACCTATACAAAATTCTCTATACTATACAATAAAAATTGCTTTTCGTGAAAAAAACGCAAATTTCTTCTGTGAATATAATTTGTAAAATATTCATGGAAATGAACTGTACAGTATAACTAACATGTTCCTTTTTTCAGAGAAAGAGATAATTGAACAAAGCCAAACATCAGAAATCTAGCAAATAAAATTCTCCGAAATGTTAAAGTATAAACCATAGTTTTAAACCAAACCAGATTCTACTCTTAATGTCACCAGTTTCAAGTGGTTAATCGCAGATTTCATACTACAGCGATGCACTCACGTAATATCAACCTAGCAATCATGTTGATCAGTTAACCTGAGGTCAGAAATACGGTGTCTGGTCGTGCATATTGGACAATGTACGAGAAATCTTCTTAATGTGGATAATGTTTTAAGGTTAAGCTCCTAAGCATATATTCATGGCACATTAGATGGTATGGTAGACGTTCTGCACCCGATTCTACATCTTTGAGTTGATTCTACACCAGAGAACCGTTCTTGAAAATAGTCATTTATAATACCGATCTCATTAGTAACAGAATCTCATTAGTGTGCACCAAATAATTAACCAAGAAATTAAAAGCAATGAAACGGCAAACAAATTCACCATATCTTACTAAAATGAAAATATGGTACTATATTCGATGAAACAATCGATATGGTGAAATTATCTGGCGCTGTCTTTGCTTTTAAATTCATGGTAAATAGTGATTTAAGCAGACTAATGATATATTTACCGAATATTTAGGATTGTATATCGTGAAGTACGTATTATTCTATTTGTTGTACATAAGCTCATTGTTCGTCGCGAGCAGTAGCGCATCGCATTGCGTAGGTTTAGTGAAAGTCTTAGGAAATAAAATCGTTTTAAGTCATAAGTTTGTTCTCAACTACGTTACGAATACTTTGATAAAGAGACTAGTGCCATGCACTACAATGAACTAATTAATAAATACGTGTAACTGTTTTCTCGTTCGTAGTGAAATATATTCAGTTTACAATACATTTTCTTAAAATCATTTTTTCAGTGTTTATTTTAAGCAAGCACCTAAATTCAGAAAAGTATGAGAACTTTTTGTAATTGATGTTTAAAAAATAAGAAGTGAAGCAATGAGAAATCAGTGTTATTTAAGATAGCTTATAAACATACATTTAACCATGCATTCTTTCATCATGTGGTTCTCATTTAGGTATATTGTGATTACGAGCTACCAAATAACATTAAATTATTATGTAGATTCATTACCATTTAATAACCTTTATGATTTGCCCTAAATAACGTTATGTTATTATGTACGCTAATTGCCACCTAATGACATACGTTATTTATCCGGTTGTTCGTCCCAATTAATATTATGTTATACGGCGGATATTTGTTAACAAAATAACATTATGCTATTTTTTAAATTATAACATCCATACAATGTTTTATAAATGATAAAATAAGGTAGCACAAAAACGGGACATAATATTGCGATGTGTAAGAACCCGGCGTGGAAACTAATTCTGAAACTTTACCATTAGTTGAATTAAAATGTAGGTTAAGCAGATGTCAAAAGTTTAGTATATAAATAATGCTAGTTCATCAGATGCCAAACGTGGAACGACTCAAGATGAAACTTCAACCTGACCAACAATTTATGATGCGTATTTTTCAGTAATTAATAAGATTAGAATCGAATAAAACTGGATTTACTCTAAATTTTATGCTACAGCTTGCGAAAAATATTTATTTAACTTAGTGTTTAAAACAAGTTTGACCGATACTGCACATGGAATTCGAATTTAAAACTCAATAAATCCGTTTTAAATTTACAATTTCTCAATTTCCGTATCAGACGGAAATGCTACAAGGAAATTTAGACGGTTCTGCCCGAATTAGTAACGCAAATATCAGCGAATATTTACATGCGGTATGGATCCGTACGGTGCGTTAATGATAGACAAGATACAGCAATAGAATAAAAAAAACATACTAAAAATATAAAAAAAATCTTGATTAAGTAGGCATTAAAAGACAAAACGTGACTTAATTAAGCTGTTCACTGTACATATAATATGCAGAATAACTGCCATGCGATTATTTTGAACATAAAAGCTGTAAATATAATCTAGTAGAGATCATCTACAGTTAAGACGTAATTTAAACGATAGAAATGTAAATTCACCGTTCAAATTTTCCTTATAATAGAATTATCAATAATTGGATAACACAAAACGCACTAAATATTGAACCAAAAAATGAATAAAAACAATGAGCATTGAATCGGATAGTGGATCATCACTTGAATATTTTATTTGCACGAGACTAAATCTATTTAAGGGCATGAAAAATAACGAACATTTAACAAGTTTTTAAAATATTTCAAACGCCACTCAATGCAAATTAAATAAGCCAGTTTGCTCTTGTGCGACCGCAGCTAACTGGCAACATGAGATTTTTTAAACCTTGATGGTATCACAGCCAAATTTGCATCACAATCTTTAATTTTAAAAATTACTTGGGACGAATTACATCGTCTTCAGCGATTAAGTCATCAGAATGTAATTAAAATTAGACAAGTAAATGAATCCGAAAATAAATTGTGTTGTTCTGAGATGAGAAGAGGAAAAACGTGAGGCATAAAAATTTTTTGCCGAATTAAGTATGAAGTGCAGAAAAAAACATAATGTTCATTAGATTTGTTATTGAAATACGCTGATTATAAGTTAAATATAATTTTTTTTGTCAAAAGTGAAGGGATAATTACCAAGTTTTTACAAGAGTGTCAAGATAGCTCTTATTAAAATAATAAATAGTTAATAACATTAAATAAAATTTACAATGAAATAAAAATTTACTATCAATTAATGATCGTACAGCCAAAGTTCCTGTTCTTCGACACTTTGAGGAAGGTGCTTAAAGTAATGCCAAATGAACAATAGTTCAATTAACTGATTTTCACTTACCAGTGTTCACACAGTTAGTGTTCACGGTACCAGTGTTCACAGTGTTAGTGTTCACGGTACCAGTGTTCACAGTGTTAGTGTTCACGGCGCCAGTGTTCACACAGTTAGTGTTCACGGCACCAGTGTTCAGTGTAGTGCACTGAACAGTATCCGTATTCTCGCCCATGCTCATATCATTCATCTCTGTGTAATGTTACCTCATTAAGCTGCAGTAAACTATCACCAGCATTTGAGTGTTTCAGTATCCATATAACCTGAAGCGATATACCAGCCTAATACTGTATAACATAACATAATTATGAGTACACATTCTACTTACAATTCCATTCACTTTTTAAATCTAACGACTACGGTCGTTAGAAGTACGAAATTGAGCATTTGATATTTGTGAACTTAGTTCATCAGTACCTTGAAACTTACTTGTATCATACTACGAATATTATAGACTTAATTCGTAGAATTTAATTGCACTTGCCTGTTATTAGAATGTAGAATAGACATTATTTATATTAACAGTAATTTGCACTTACTGACAGAGGGGTTAAAAATTTCGTGGGTTTCATCTGAAATTAAAAGAAATATTTGCTGCTCTGACAAAGAAAATCTCGCTTTTAAATCGCATGAACACATAAATTGAGAATATGCCAATAGATCAATCAAACTTTCTGAAAGTTCATAGTCATAACAAAACTTGTAGTGCATAAACAAAATCAAAAGACTTGAACAAAGAAGAAGCGGTGCCTACAGAGAAAAGTTGGTGGCATGGAACAGATACGCGCGTCTATAGACAACAAGCGGTGGCATGGAGCAGTAAAAGATCATGTGCCTACAGAGAACAAGAGGTGGCATGGAGCAGTAAAAGATCGTGTGCCTACACAGAACAAGCGGTGGCATGGAACATTAGAGAGCTCGTGGACCTTCAGAGAACAAGCGGTGGCATGGAACATTAAAGAGCTCGTGGACCTTCAGAGAACAAGCAGTGGCATGGAACATTAAAGAGCTCGTGGACCTTCAGAGAACAAGCGGTGGCATGGAACATTAAAGAGCTGGTGGTACTACAGAGAATATGCATCTGCGTGGACTTGTAAAAGCGCTATAAATTTGTTTGACGCGTGGTGAGGAAGGCGCTCAATAATGATCAAAAAGTGATTTCAGTGCAGGCGCGTGCAGCGCAGATTTCGCGTGATGAAAGAATGATGCTTTCTTGTTGAGAGAACGGCGACTGAGGCACCAGTCGTTCTGATAAGACCAGGTAATGAGATTAACATCAGTTCGAAATGACCGCAAAATTCAAGCAAGCATTTTGATTGAACGCATAATTAATTGTCATGAGTAAAAATTGTGAAACATTATTGTATGATAAGTTAACGAGTCTCAGATTATTAAAATAAAGCGTTCAATCGAATTATCATATCCTGCACAAATGTAGGCTCGCCAAAAATTTTATCAGAAATTTCCACTTTATTTTCAATTTCACAATATATATTGAAGTTTGCATAAGCACAACCCCTTTGCCACATAAAACTAAATTCAACATAAAATTTTTTACAAAACTCTCATTCTTCGACTATGAATATTCCAGAGGTGATTAAGCAAAGCAGCAAAACATTTCATTAACTCAGGGTAAATTTTTTGAAGAATACACCAATGTTTACTGCAAGTTTTCAAGTTCGTATATGACTTGCAATTGCAGTGCATTTTATTGTAAGTCAAACTCGAAGCGACTCATTAAGAGCTTTCATCCACAAGAACGCAAAATTCTAAAACAAGGTAACACTTCTATAGAAAATACAAAGAACGAAATAGCTGGATATATTCATACATGAAATGTCACACGTAAAGCGGGAAATTGCTGGATACTTACAGAGAATGAGAATAGTAGTTAACATTGCAAGAGTCGAGCCAGTTCTGCTGATAGTCAATACTTTTCGATCAAAGCAACTTACTGGTAGTTTTCTTGCCCCAATTTTGAAAATTTGGCGTAATAAACTATGGTAATGATGTACATTTTTTAATTTTTCAATTTATAATGTATAGGAGTATAAAACTCAATTTAAAGTTCCGTGAGATTAGGAGCCTCTTTGGTTTGTCTTATAGAACTCCAGACTATCACTG